ATTTATGTTGTGTATTTATGCAGTGTTGCATTAGAAATGTATCCTATTAAAATAAGGCATTCATTACATTCTGTTCCATCACGTATAAAATGGGGGGAAGAAAAAGAAGAGCACCATATTTGGGTGTTTAAAGTGTGTTGCCCTGTCCTTTCTAACATCCATGCCCCAAAGTTAATTCAGCTGCTGGATGCTGAAGTAGTTGGCTTGCATGTGTGTGTCTTGGAGAGGGATGTTGCTGTCTACGTTAGAATTCTCATTACAGTCTCCCATACTGCCAGATTTCTGGCTCTTGCTTTTAAATCGTTCCCAGATATTGTTAGAAATGAAATATTTTACAGTGCTGTTAGAATTCTTTATATCATGAGCTGTCTCCTGGCTTGCTGTTGGTGTATTCCTGTGCAGCTCAGGTTCTCTTTTGTTCCCTCATGGAGGGGAGGGATGGGGGGCAGGAAATCATCCTGTCGTTGGGAGAGGTTTGGAACATCTGCATGTTGTGTATTAGAAATCAGAGAATTTAATGAAGCAGTATTTTTGGTATCTTTTTTATGTTTTCTAATGGATGTCAAAAAATGATTTTAGCTGATGCTGATGACATCTTAAAATGCAGTTAGTTTATTTGCTTATTGTTTCTAGTATTATCAGTTCAGTGTTTGTGTAGTGTTAGAAGAGACCTGCATGTTCACACACTGCTGGTAAATTCGGAGTTTGTTATGTTATGTGCAGGAGCCTTCGTAGCCTTGGACTACTGGAAAAAGAGCTGATAGTATTTCTCTTCTATAAACAGTTGTCAAAAATACTCCGATGTTTGAAAGACTAAACCTCTCTGGTGGTTCTCAAGCCAAAATTGAAAAGTTTGGTATCTTTTTTTTGTGGTTTAGTAGCCTTTTCTTAAAGGATGGTGGTAGTAGCTGTAGTAAGGTCTGGGCATTTTTGAAATACTTAACTCCTGTCTGCAGTGTGAGGAAAATCCTTGGTAAGGACTTGTAAATAGTGGTTTTTTATTAGCCTGGAAAGATGGTGTGACTGTAACAACTTCCTGAAATGGCGTAGGTACTTAATATAACTTGTGATAGCATGAAGTCTCAAGTAATCTGTTGTGGGGGAGCGGAGGGGTTGGAATCTGGAATCCAGCTACATAAATTTAATTCCAGTAGTGAGGGATTCTGAGTTAACTGTGACTGCTAAAGCAGGGAGCTAGAAGATTCATTTGCTAAGCTAGTTACTTAATGTAATTGTTCATTTGAATTGTGGAAGAGCCGAAGTATATACAACTGTATTTACTGAGAGATTTCCTTACAAATTAACTGAAATATAGAAATGCTCTCTTCAGTTTAAAGTATGGAAAAATTTCTATATATGTATATTTAAGTTCCTTTGAAATACATATTCAGAGTCTTGAGTTGACAACTTATTTGTCTTTTTCTGAAAATGTCAGTTCTGCATAGTTTCCATTGGTTGGTTAGAACCATAGGTTAACATGCTGTTGCCACACTGTGCTGTTAGAAGTACTCAGTGACAGTGGGCAGGGTATGATAACGTTGCACTCCTTGAAAGGGCTTTGGTTCTGCAAGAAATCTAAAGTTTGCTGACTATAAGAAGTTAATTTGATGATTTCCTGATTTACTTTGCTACAGTACTTTGGCAGATGTTGAATTCAGAATGTTTGTCCATGAACGTCTATGGCATAGTTAGTGTTTTAGGTTGTACACAAGGCCAGTACTGCTTAATGTTTTTCTTGACATTGGTAGGAATACAGATGTGGCATTGAAAACTTCTGCTCCTGAGGACTGGCTGTGACCTTTGAATAGTGTACAATCACAGTTTGTACTTCTTCTGTCCTTTGCAATCTTTCCCTTGTGCTAAAATGAGCACTCAAGTAGTTTCTCTCATGTTGCTATTGGAAGAAATTTCCTTTGCAGCCTATGGTTGGGAGGGAATTTGATGTGGTGGCTTCAATTTGTTTGGCTTATTTAATTTTATTTTTAAACTTAAATTTGGACTTTTCTGTTGGTCAGTGTTTGTGATCTTCCGTCTTGAAGTAGCTTGATGCACAGCAGCTTACAAAGATGGGGAAGAGAGCTAAGTGAAAATTGCTCTTTAATCTTCCATTCTTTATTGAATTTGATTCACCACGTTCTTCAAAGACATGAGCTTGTTTTCCTTGTTTCTGAAACATTCAATAGAGTTGACCTGAACTTGACGGTTTATTCACATTGGATGATTTGACTATTGGAAGTGGTGTGCTTGAGAATAAGGCTGCTGTGTGCACGAGATACTTGGGAAGTGAGCTGTAATTCTGAAATGCATGTACAAGTGGTAGAAGTTTTGCCCTTGAAGTAGAGTACAAGTCCTTTTTGGCCTATCTCTGTTAAAGAAAAAAACACGTGAAAACTGGTCCAAACCCACAAGTTGAATAAAATCCTACCTTTGCTGAATGGATGTTCAAAAAAAAAAATAAAAAAGTTGGCCTCTGTCATAATTTTGTAGGTGCTTATGTCATTATAGCAGTGTCAGTTGACTTACTTGAAATGCTTATATTAAATTGCTTTGTAAAACAGCTGTCATCTTATGAGACCTTTTTGAAGTAAATAGCAATTAACAGCCAGCTAACTGCTTTTGATTTCTGTAATTACTCTGTTTTCAAGTAGAACGTGACTTCTTTTGCTGCATAGCTTTTTTTAAGTTACATATAACTTGCATGTTCTTCTGAAACAAAATCGTAACTTAAAATTTTAAGTATAATGACAAAATCTTGTAACAGGCTATGTAAATGTTATCTGAGGTGTTAAATGTGTTTCAGAATGGAAAGAGAACTTTTAGAATTGCTCCTAAAACACAACTGAGTAACCACTCTGACTGTTTAGCTTTTGGATTTTTTGATTTTGGATTTTTTTTCTGCTATGAGTTAAGAAGCGTATCAGGCTTTTGTAACATGTTTCTTAGGAGGCAGAAGTTTATATAGTCATTTTTACAGTCTGCGAGTCTGAAGTTGCTCATTTAGGCAACTTTTTGAAGCTGAAGACAGTTGGAATGAATTCTAGATTTCAGATTTGCGAGGTTCTGTAGGGTTTGGGAAGAGCATTCATTCATCAGTACTGAGGGTGTTTCAGCTCTTGGTGTAGCGTCTGTTGTAGTGTTGCAGATTGATGACTGGCCTATTAAGGAAAACCAAATCTACCACTGAATTAATTTAATTTGCCAAACTCTGAATGGATTCTGTCTCTGCTGCCTCTGCCTATTGAATTGAGCTGTCCAGCCTGGAGATGAGACTTTTGAGCAAGACTGGATGAGTAACTGTGAGCAGAAATAACTGTTGTATTACTGAGTGAGCAGCAGTGTTGGCAATCTTGACCTTCAAGGTACTCTATCTATGTAAATACTAGAGAAATAGGCCGTTAGAGAGAAAGAATGTTTGTGTAGCCATTTGTACTGATTTTTAGTGTATGATACTAACAATATGGAGCAGTATAGGTTGAAAAAGAGTTTCCGTAACTTTTCTGGCATACGTCTTTGTCATGTCCAGCTACATTTTTCCGTAATTGTATCTGATTGCATATATGCCTTTGCACTGAGAACAAGAAGGAATCTTAGTATTAGCCGTTATTTATTTTCAAAGGAAGTCAGTTGGTGATGTGATGGGCGCATTTTTTTTTTTTTGGTTGAGTGAAGAGTCTTCCATAAGCTGTATAAAGATACTACAGAGCTGATGCTAAAAGTTGCGTCTTTGTTATCTGTGTATACATACGTAGTACTTAAGACCTCTGGATGTCAGGTGCCATTTTATGTGTATATATGCACACAGAACACTGTGGTAGAATGATAAAGGTTTGATTTTATGCATCTTACAGCTCTGCGGCATAGAAAGACAATATTCTCAGGTTAATTTAGAATTCAGTTTTGAGGTACTTTCAGGATATTTTCTGCCTAGCATGGAGATTCTGTTGTAGTGCCCATCACTAAATGAGAAGCTTTCACTTTTAAAAAGATGAGCTGCAATTGGTTTCTTTCCTCTTGTGCATTTTAGTGGTGACATGGATTGGTGTTAGGGCTGTTGAGGAAGTACTTAGGAAGTGGGAAAAGATCTAATTAAAAATGTTTAAAGGTTGTCAAGTTTATTTCTTTTTAATAATTTCTTTTTCTTAAGTGGAAGATAATTTTGTGTGTGTGTGTGTGTGTGTGTGATTAAAAACTTACTGGAGTAGGACAAGAAGAAAAAAAAGAAAAAATGGGGGAAAACAGTAGGAGAGAAAGAAGTAAATGCCTCTTCAGCTTTGCCAAGTATTTGTCTTGCAAATAATTTGAGGAAAAGGTTATCTTAAGAGTTTTCCATATACATCCTACTTTGATTGTTTTGCAGCCTACTACTATTCAAAAAGATCATTAACTTGATAATTGTCATATTTTAGGAGTTGCAGTTGTCACCTGTAGGTGCTACCTTCTGCGCTAGGTTTTCAGGACAAATGGATGCCCCCAGATTGAATAGTGATAGTATTCTCTGAAGACAAGTCTTTTTTTTTTTTTTTTTTTTTCCAAATAGGAATGTTAGAATTGAGCTGAACTCACCATTTCTATTTGTGCAGATTTCCCTTGTAGTTTAATCTGGATATAATATTTTAATTTAACGTGAAATATTAAAATAACTAACTGTATTTTATGGAAGTAAAGTAAACAATTAATTATAATGTTTTAATTTGAAGTGCTGAACAAAATTATTGCTCAGGACTTCTTATTGTGTCTTAAGGTGGCTGCATTTTGGCGGTGGGTAAAACAATTGTGCTTAAGCTGCTCTCATTGCAAAGTTTGCCTTGTAAATATACTGCTTTATGTAGATTTCAAGTGGTTGCACTTGTCTGAAATGAGAAAGTCTGCCAAATCTGAATAGGTTTGGTTATGCTTGCTTAAGTTCTAAAGGTTTTCCCTGTCAAACTGACATTTTTAATATCATCTTTAAAAATCACAAAATAGAGGAAAAAAATCTCTTACTGTCTCTTTCTTTTTAGAGAGGATCTGACGAACTTCTTTCAGGCAGTGTACTCAATAGCCCGAACTCTAACATGAGCAGCATGGTAGTTACTGGTAAGTGATGCCCTTTCAAAGGAGAAATCTATCATTTATTTTTGGACTCATTTCCTATTTACAAGGGGAGAACGCTGAAACGAGAATCCATTGTGCTATAGAGGGATAAAGTGTTGGCGTGCATTACACTGTAGTGACTTTACATATAGTCAAAATCCTCAGGAACCTGAGAAAGGTAATCCCATGAAACAAAGAGCAACTTTCAGATGTCTGTACAGTACACCAATGGTGGATGACAGAATGAAAAATTACACTTGTCTTGTACTGCTGCCTTCAAAGTAAGGAATCAGAACTACCAGTTAAGGGTAAACAGATAACAACTCATTATGACTTCTGTTTTTTCACATGTAGCTTCTGTGAGCCTGGGCATTACGGGAATGTATGTAATTACAGGAATTATTCTGCCCTATAATGCATTCAAGAAAAGAGAATTTGGTCTGCTCTCATTTAGACTGCAAAAGCAGTGAACTTCACTTTGCTTCTTCAGTCTGAGATGGCAGTGTTACTAAAATCTCAACGTTAGGTTGTTCTTTAACCACTATGATGTTACTAGATAGAAAGGCTTTTAAGGAATTAGCACATAATAAAATGCCTTTCGTTACAGTGTATGGTCCTGACATTCACACTTTTCTTTGAGTTCCTTGTGAGAGTTCTCCTCACAGTCTTGCTTTTTCTCTCTGAGAACGTGTAACTTTTTTTTTTCTCTGAAATGTGGAGGAATTAGTTCATGGTATCGGTGTTACTTGGTCTTTCCAAATGGTTGCTTGGTTCACAGCTTCCATGTGCTATATATCTATCTATCTATCTATCTATCTATCTATCTATCTATCTATATATCTATATCTCTATATATATCTCTATATATATATATATATATATATTCCCATCTGTATTTACTTGTTGAGCAGTGCAGTATTAGTTCCAGATTTACTACTATATTAAAAGTAAAGTAAACAAAGATTAGGATTCTGGGTACAATTTCATGATATATTTAATATGCTGTGATGGCAGATGTTGCCAGAGTGGATGTTCTCTTCCTGCATTCCTAGTATAAACAAGAAAAAAACATGCAACTGCTTGTGTTTCTGCCCTGCTTGGTGCTGGAGTGTTCATACTCTTGAGATAGCTGCTACAGCACTAAAGTGTATTGCTAAGAAGAGCTGCTTTCCATTGGAGCAGCGTAGAGGTTGGTAATATGACTGTGCAATTTCTAGATCATGTACAGTATAGGGAAAATGAGTGGGTTGTCAGAAGAGGAAAAATAATGTATTTGTGGTCATTTTAGAGCCCCTGGAATGCTTATTTATCTCCTCTGCTTTTTGTCCTTTCTTCTATTTCTGAAGCAGGTACATCTTCTCATTTCCATTTTCTTGATATCCTCAGCAGTCCAAGATAATACTGCTTCAGCAATTTGCTTTTCATAAATGAGAAACCATAATTAAAGGGAGAGTTGTGTGGAGGGTGCGTTTGGGTTTGAGCGTTGAGTGTGGGGGTGAAATGTCAGTGTTTACAGGACAAGTTAGTTTTTCCTGAACATTTTGAAATGAGAAACTTGAAAATCAGGAAAGCTAAATGGAAGTTTACTTATCAAAAGGGGAAAAAAAAAGAAAAGCTGAAAGGGTAAAAAAAGAAAAGAATTATATGTTTGGGCTTTCAGAAGAAAATTTAGAGAAGCTTTTCTAAGAAGCCCTAAAACTTGAAGTCTGAGTTTGTCTCATCTGAGAGTTCTTTGGGAAAAATGGCTTTGGTTTCATAATGTGAATGGAGGAGTTTGTGTTTAATGAATGCAAATTCTCCTACCCTCCATCTTGGTTTTGTTCCTCTCTCTCTCTTTTTTTTTTTTTTTTTTTTTTCTTTAGCACCAAAGAGACAGTTTCCAAACAAATTGATTCTCTGTTTTAAACAAGCAAGCAAGGCCTCTTGGTAGGTTTCTAGGCATCCAGAACCATAAATGGTTTCCAAGAAAAGATCTCATTGTCAGCTGGCAGTGGTGTGAGATAAGTTCCTGTAGTATCTGTTGTTTGTAACAAATTTTCATACCAATTAGGTATAAAGGAGTTATTCTGGAAAAATACCCAGGGGGAAAAAACGACAACAAAAAGAAACAAAAAAACCCCACGATCACAAATGCAGTGTTTTAATTCAAATCATTCCGTACAGAAGTGTGTGGGAAGGAGTCCTGGTTTGTCAAAGTTTTCTTGGTTTGTTTTTCATGCATTTGCTTGAGATTGCATTCAAGCTTCTGTTCTGCCTGCCTTTGTTAAATAGCATACAAAATCTGTAGAGCAGGTTAAATCAACATTTCAGTATTATTCCTATGTGCATATGTTCTTGTATCTGTCTTGTTTATTAGGAACCTGGAAGGTACATTTTCCAGTTTTGCACAGGTTTCTTTAACAATTTCAGATTAGAGATTCAGAAATGATTGGGTCCGCAATAGAAACTGGTGTGTTAATTTTTTGTACCTGTTTCCTGAAGCCAGATGAATTGAATTTATGTCCAAACCAATGCCTTCCTTTTGCTTCAGCACTGTTTTTTTTTTTTTTTTTTTTCTGTAGATGAATTTAAAACTTCAGTGAAAAGGATTTATCAGCTGTAGCTGAGCCATTGTACCTTTTCAGGGCCTATTCAGGGAATCTGTAGTCATTGCTTAAGGTCTTGGTTAAGCAGACATTTCATAGAAACTGACCTACTCTGTAACTCTTTAATGCCTTCTTGAAGTTTGGTGTCATTTCATGAAACGTGTTCATTGGTTTGTTTTGTATTTTTTTTTTCAATACATAGAAACCTACTCTGGTTTAGTCATTCATCTTTTCTACATAAGATTCCTGATATTTTATGAACAGATATTGTGCTTTGAGCTTTGTCGGTAAAAGTATACAATCCAGAAAATCCAGTGACCAGCACTGCTCTCACAGGCCCAAATTTAGAAGAAAAACTTGAAAACTGTTTCCTTGTTTCTTTTGAAATCCATTCTGCAAAAATATATCAAACTTCTTATAAAACAGTTTGCCTCAGACCTGTTGCTGTTAAGCAGTGTTTTTAATAACTCATTTTTTTAAAAAAGACCTGTTCATGGAAGTTGACACGTACTGTCTAAGTGAACTATCTTTAATGGCTCTGTGTTTAGAGATGAGGTTAAGCCTAAGTTTTTTAAAAATAGTTGTCTTACTCTTTTATCACAGTAATAGTCTCACGAAAATTTTTGTAATATTCATTTCTTTTTCAGATAGAATACTGTAGTTTAATGCTCTTAAGTGTATTCTTGTGCTAATTCTTCCTTAGAGGCGTGAAAGATGTGCACCTTCTTTCTCCTTTGCAGGGTCTTGTGTATGAATTCTTTTCCTCTTTTATTAAAAAAAAAAAAAAAAAAAAAAGCCTTGCAAAATTGCTGGATAGGCATTGGTTTTGCATTTGAATAATTGTTGTATAAGTATTTATTTGATAATTTGAACCACTGATAATTTGATAAATGGTATGAAATTAAGGAAAGCTGACCATATTAGACCAAAGAAATTGCTGAAAATAGGAGTTGTGATCCTTGAACAATTTCTTAACAGCTTGGTCATCGTTACCCATCTTCAAGACTGTATAGATAAAGGGAAGTTGGGAGTACGTTATATTATGATTTACTGCAAATTACTAACTTAAGTACTTTGTGTATCTCCAGTAAAAGAACTGCCTCGAAAAGAAGACAAACTTGGATATTTGTGCATGATGCTGTGCAATTTTCTTACTGTTTACTTCTGACCCTTTGCATCTGCAGTTGATGACTGTTCTTAGCCGTGATGAATTTCATTTAAACATGTCTGTTGTAAAGTATACAAGATTTTTTTTTTTTTTTTACTGTAGAAGAACTTTGAGCAACATGAAAGAACATCAGTTTGTAATCATCTGAGGGTAGAATCCCATCATAGATTATTGCTAGGAAAAAGGCCTTGTAAGATTCTGGGTCAACAAATATCTGTTTTTTGTGTTTGGTTTTTTTTGAAGTTATATTTGACTATGCATTTTATTACCAGCTGACAAAGATATGTTGAATTTGCAGAATCACAGGCCTTGCACTATTAGTATTTTCTTTCAGCTTTTTGGAAAATGCTGTCCAAGTCCATTCTTTCTTCGTATCATAATCATGCTCATCTCTCATATCCTAGAAGAGCATAAATTACCTTGCCGTGACAACTGTGAATTTGTTTCCTCATGAACACAGCTGCCAATGACTCGAAGGACAGTTTGATAGCAGGATTCTGAGAAACAAGAGCTGAAGCCTAGATATCCTAGATATATAAGGAATATCTTCTTGACACTAGACTCTATTCTTCAACTTCTAAGAGAATCAAGTCCCTTTTTCTGAAGAACTACAAAGGTTATTTCCTTTATGAGGGGTTACTTTTGTGCCAAACTTCTTGTGTGACTTCTTTCTTTCAGGTGAAGGACTACTCAATGGAAGTTCTAGGAACAGCTGTGTATGTGAAGGTGCTCATGCCATGAACTGTATTTCTGAAATCCACAAAAGAAAAAAATTTTAAAGGGATATAGATAAAAGCAAAAGTTGAAGAAAGTTTTATGAAAGTTACCAAAGACGAAAGATTGACAAAGAAAATTGTATTTTTATACTGTAGCTACTGTCACTTTCATTATTTATGTTTGTGTGTTTTAACTCAGTAAAAATATTTCAAAAATTGTTTTGCAGTGGAGCTCACCAAGCTCCTCTGGCTTTAAATGGCAGTGTTAATCTTCATCTCATTTTTTACTTCATTAGTAGGGAAGGTTAGCAGCGACTTTTATAGGTAATTCATTGTATTCACAGAAAACTTAGTGCTAAGGCATGCAAGATACTAGTGTTCTCAGTGCCCTGTTTAACTTACAGTATTAACATAGATGTTCTGATTTTGATAGTGCGTTAAGTGAAGTTGGTTTTTAGTTAACACTACCTGAGCACAAGTAATTTACCTCTGAATTTTCAAATTTATTATAATTCACAAAATCACTTATGATTA